GCATTGTAGCCGCCTCACATCGACTTTCCAACTCAGCTAGTTCTAACGCAGCAATATAGCTTTGCACGACATTGCTCATGGCCGGTACTCCTGGTGTTAGCGTGTACCTTGAGCCGTAGATCGAATCCTGATCGGAATCGGATTGGGGACAAACCATAGCCGCAAACTGTTGTCGGTCACGAATCACATCGAAGACCAGGCTGCCGGTCGATTCGGTAGCACAGTTGGAGGGGACGGAAAGATTGTCCACAGCAACCTCACTACCTGTGGAGGATAAATTCGATGAATCGAAACCGCCAAGGAAGCCTCGGTGTCTAGTTCTCCCGGGTGTACGTCCAGTTAAACGATTCAAGGTATCGATCAAACGGCGCGGTGTTTTCTTCCGTTTTCCCAAAGATGCGCTGATTGCTTGAGAGTCATAGCTCAGGAAAGAGTACACAGATATGCTGTCCGTTGAAGATTGATTCATTTTTCTGAATGAGTCGTTAGCTGCTTTCAGTTTACGGAAGTGCTCAACATATGCAACCGAGTAGTATACAGAACCAAGCATTCAAGGTCGTCGGACAGAACTACTTAGCATGCATGTGTGCACACTTCGAACAGAACGTGTGTGCACATAAGCACACGAACAGAGTAAATTAGCATATGGGTTGAAGAAGCTCTCTATCCAGTGATGCGTGCACAAACCGAACATCAATCAGTCCAAATAGGACAGAATGCAATAAGTAAGAAGACAAGTCAGAAGAAAGAATGACAAACAGCCGACTAGCTCTCTTCGCCACCCACCCACCCCTACCGTCATTTCTGTGTCACGTTAACACCGCTCCGTCAGTCGTCACCCAGGTCGCACAACCGGAATACGATCTCCATAGTAGACTGGAAGACAGTCAAAACAGCACCCAATTGCAATAGGTCCGTTGTCTGAGTGCATCACACTCAACCACCTTTTGTGGGCAGACGAACAGATAGTTGGATGACACAACAGTGCCAAGGTGGATATGTGAGCAAAAACTGAGTCACTCTAATTCATGCGAGGTTAGTTGTGTACTCACTCTTTTCCGTTGGAAAAGAATTTGCGAGATCGGAGCAGGCGACTGCAACAAGCTGTTTAGTGACATGAATCTGAACAACTTTATTTGTTTATCGACAATGAAAATAACAATGTCTCATTGTGTATACAGCCATAGTTTGTGGCTTGGATCAAAGTGACTTACCCATGAACAACAGTATTTGGATGAACAAACAAAAGACATTCGCGGTGGATGAACACAAAAATTGTGGTGAGTGAGGGGAAACGATTTTTGAGCAGGATCTTGAATTTGGAATTTTACCCTAATTGAGAAGAGGCATGCTAGGTTATAATAATGACTTGAGCACAGAGAAATTGAAGTTAATTAGGAAAAACTTCATGAATTCAATCAACTTTATTACCGTAACACGAAAGGAAAATGAGCTGGCACTTATTTTGATTCAGGTGAAGGCCAGAATAGACTGTTTTTTGTCAGAAGAAAGCTAGTGTTTATATTACTATTCTTAAATTATAAGTTCTCATTTATAGCTGATTTTTGAAATGAGATATTAAATCGTGCTTTTGTCATTTTAATGTGATACACTTATTTCAAATTCCAATTTCATCGAACATGAATTGTTAAACAAGCTCGTTTATGGAGCAACATTAACTAGCTTAATACAGCAGAAGTATGTTATTCACCGTGAAAATAGGCGGGGGGAGTGAAAGGCGCGTACATGTGAGCAAATTATGGTCAAGCAGCCGTTTCAATTTTTTTTAAATGCTTGTTACGTAATTAGGTTAGTAAATGCAACTCTAGGGCTCTAACACATTTCTGAGCGCACAAGGTTATTCAATCGGATCGCGATAGCCTCCGCCATAGATCGAGCGTCGAAAACAAGCTTGCTTACAACCTTGCCTTCTAATGCACGCATGTTTCGCCGGAGATCAATCCATGGCATAGAACACTGCGCTTACATCAGGGATGATGGGAGTTCACAGTGTCCAGATCACTCGATAGTATCCAAAAACAGGCATGATAAGTGAGGGCTCTTTGTGCGCTAGGATTTTTTTAAACAAACTCTGTTACCAAATGAAAGTAGGAAACATCGGTATTCAAAAAAGCAAAACTGCAAAGCATCGGTGAACTTACTTTATCTTGAAGATATATAACAGCATCATCCTATAAGAAAATAATCCAGCTTGGATTGCCTTCTAAGACTACTTCAACATGGGTGACGAATTAATGCGCAGAGGAATGTTGATTTTTTACAACAGAGACATTAAGATTCTCCGTTAGAAAATCAAAGTGTTATATTTTTAAACAGTAAATGAAAACTGTTTGTGATAGATATCATGACGTTTCAGGAACATTATACTATATTACATTTCACACGCTTCTGAAGCCAGAATCATTCATTTGAATAACTACATTTTTGTTATATTTCAACCGATCCTGGAGTAGATAACGAAGTGATCTGATAACCGAGACGTGGTGACGCGAAAGCCAATATCTCCTGGTATAACTTGAAGTAGATTGTTGTTGTTTTCCTATTTGTTGCAAACTTCACCTGTGACAAATATGTGAAAACTTTTTTGAATGGGATTTCAGTTTATTTTACATTTATATATTATTATTATTACATCATTGTTATATTTTATTGTTTGAAAAATTCGATGGTAGGTTATCTTATTCATGACCCTAAGAACGTCGCTGCAGTATAGTCATCAGGTAGCGATCAGGGAGGTTTGTTTCCGTTTATTCCGCAGTGGTGAATCAGGAATAGTGTTTTGACTTGTAAACTGTTTCGGACCAGGGTTCTATGACCAGCTCAGTGACGAGTGCCTAGCGTTCCACTGATTGAAGTAACCCCACTAATCAAACATGTTCCCTCCATTAGTTTGGTGGCTGTATATAGTTTATGGGTTTACCGGTAGTCAAACCGCATAAAATGTAAATATTCTATAAATAAACTTCACAAACAAGCTAGAGCATTCCGTGACAATTTGGGAGTTATTTTATTATTCTTAAATCAAAATCCCGAAATAGGATATCGTAGTAGGAACTCGATGTATAGGGTATGCATTTCATCAGCTGAGTAGAAACCCCACTCGTGTCGCGGCTTCAGGTGGTGTGCTGTATTGACAGAAAAGCGGTGCATAACTATGAAGCATAAAACAACTTAAATTCAACAGGACAACGAGAATCAGAAATACACTGAATTGAGTATACAATGTTGGCACCTTTCAATCATTTTCGGTTGCGTCTAACATGATTTATTGAGAGTTCCACCGGCAACAAAACGATGATTTACCAAAAATGCTTATGATTGTAGAGTATGATGTGTGGTATGGCTTTGAATGCCCTGAAAGTTTCAATTTGCATGCTTATACCTTTTCCCCATATTCCTTTTGAGATTTTGAGAACTCATATGTGTATTGTGTTAGCCCGATGAGAAGTACCGACCGACCACAGGAAGTGTACAATTCAAAACCTGACTCCCGTCGTATTCAAAAGGCGTAAGAGATTTATCAAACTCAACAAATATCTTAATGTGATCAAGTGTAAACCTGAGTTTGCCGGTAGCTTTGTGGTAGAACTTTTTTATTTTAGGTTTATGTAGAAAATTCTAAAACTATATCAATTGCAGCTAACTAACACAACTCACGGCTCAACCCAAATGAACGAAAGGTGATTTCAACGATTGAGGTAAATTCTGGAAACTAAATGTGGAAAATTCATAGGAAAAACCATTTCAGTCACTTGAAATACCTAAGTACAAGAAGTGAATAGAACGTGGTCTCAGTGAAATTAAATTCGGTAAGCTAGTCTTCAGCACCCGAACAGCAATAAAGAAATCGAGAGATGGTCAATAATTTGTTTAAACGGTCCCACGGAGCTCATAATGAGAACACAAATTGGCAAACAAGCTCGTTTTCAGTGTGTCTTAATCACGCCATTACAACACAATAAATATGACTAGTATCAAAGAAGGATTTACAAAGAAAAAGAGAGGGAAAGTAATTGAAGTATTCAAGAGTTTGTTTCATAATTGGTCCCCAATTATCACTTGCTCCGATGTTGTATAACAAGTCACTTGTCGGCGATCCGGCCATGGGAGCTTGAGTGCTTGCACAAATTGTTTCTGAG